ACGGGAAATGTAAAGAAAAGAGAAGAGGATGGAGTGGTGGGGCGAGCTGGTGGGCATCTTGGAGCGAAGGGCGGGGCCGGTCATGCACGCCCTCACCTTTGTGGAGCTTAACGGCATAAATCTCGCACCGCTCCTTCGGCGATTCAGCTCCCTCACACTCCTTTCCACTCCCACCTCGCTCATCCTGTACGCCCCTCACATCAAATCCTCTCATACACTCCTTATTTATATTATTTGTGTTTTGTTCTTTTATTTATTTATTCTTTATTGCAGCGAGACGCGGTTGCACAAGTACTCGCCCGAGGTGCAGGAAGGGCTCCTGACCTTGGTGCTGGCACAGCTGCGCCGGCTGCCCGCCGCACTCGTCGTCGACTTTGTACTGGCCTACGCCGACGCCCAGCCGTCGCCGATGCGCCGCGAATGGCCGCGGCGGCTAGTCAGCCGTATATGCCAGCAGCTCAGGGCGCTCGGTGCGCCGCCCCCTGCCCCCCTTGAGCTTCGTGGCCGCGTGGCTTACGCGAGCGCTGCGGGTGTGCGTGTGCGTGTGCGTGTGCGTGGCAGACGCGAACGTTTCGTTTCCGTTTCGCCTGCGCGCGATCCTGCAATCGGCTGACGAGGCCGAAGACGACGCGCGGTACAAGGTGGACGTGAGCGTTCTAGACCGCGATGGCGAAGGCCAAGGCGATGAAGGGGACGAAGACGAAGACGAAGATGAGGGAGAGGCCGAAGGCGCGGTGGTTGAGGAGGAGGTGATCGAGGTGCTGCCCGAGGACGAGGTCGTGCAGGAGGTGGAGTGGGACATGGACCTCGACGAGCACCAGTCGCCCGAGCGAGCCCAGCGGGAGCGAGAACTGAAGCGAAAGCGAAAGCGCGACCGGGCGGCGACCAACAACATCAATAAGCGGCGAAAGGCCGACGACGTCAGCGAAAATGAAGACGACGAAGAAGAAAAGAACGGAGCCGCCGGCGGTGACGACGAGAACGAAGACGACGAGGTGGGCGTGGAAGTGGAGCTCGACTTCCAACTGTCGTCGGACGACGAAGCCGGCGGCGGCGAGGAGGAGGAAAAGAACGGTGACGACAATGAGGAGCACACGCACGAGCGGGACCCGCTGGAGGAAGAGGGGGAGGACTACATGGACGAACCGGCGGCGGCGGCGGCGGCGGTCACTGCGGAGGTCGCCGAGCAGCTCGCGGGGCTGCGACGCGAGCTCGAGACGCTCGGGCAGGAGGGCAAGACCGACATCACCGATCACTCGGCCCTCGACCTGCTGCGCCAGCATCCTCAGGCACCACCTTTCGCCCTTCCCTGATCACAAGTCGACGCGTAGTTAACTCGTGCCGTTGGTCGTGTGTCGTGTGCCGTGTGCCGTGTGCCGTGTGCCGTGTGTCGTGTGTCGTGTGTCGTGTGTCGTGTCGTTGGTCGTATCATGTTTTCCGACAGCTGGAGAGCGTGTGTCAGATGCTGCGACCACACGAGCTGTCTGACGAATCGGCTGCGTTTCTCTGCGGGCAACTCTTCTCCGCCGCGGACATCTCCTACAAGCGCTGCCGTACGCTCGTGCAGTACCTGCTGTTCCCCAAGGTACCTAACCACGAGGCCTTCGCCAACCACGCGACACACACGACTCACGCGACACACGCGACACACGCGACTCACGCGACACACAAATGCATCGCGGTCGTGTTGCTGTCCACCAGGTGCAGGGGCTCGAAAGATCGGTCTCTCGCGCGCTGTCCACGGCTATCAGCAGCGTGGCGAAGCAGCACCCGTCTCCCCTCACCGATGCGCTCCTGCTCCCGCTGGTCTTGGCGCCGGCACTCGGTACGAGCTCGCGCCACGGAAGCTGCGCGTATAGGCTGACGTCCGTGTGGTTCTATCTCAATGCCAGGCGTGCCACAGAGCGACGTCATCAATCGCGTGCTGAAGGAGTGCTTTGACCTCAACTCCGTGCTTCAGTTTTTCAAGTACGCCACACGCCACACACACGCCACACGCCACACGCCGTCACACGTCACACGCCGCCACACGCCGCCACACGCCGCCACACGCCACACGCATAAGAGGCACTCATCTGGCCTGTTGTGTCTCATCTCTACCAGAGCGTTCCTCGGCTCGTGCGAGAGCGGGGAGGACGAGTCGTTCTCGATGTCGCAGTCGCAGTCGCAGTCGCAAGACGCCGGATTTGGTGCGTAGCTGACTACACTCGCTTGAAGTTGATGACATCATCAGGCCTTGTCGCCATGATGACGTCAGCATGCCGACACCAACCGCGCTTGGCCTGACCGTAACGCGCGCCGGGCAGGTGTGACGTGGACGGAGAACACGGTCGTGGTGCTGCAGGCGGTGGTGGACATGCGGGGCATGGTCCTGCCCGCGGACGCGTTCGAGCTGCTTCTCGTGCAGCTCGACCGACACGCGGCCTACTTCGCCGCCAGCCTCAAGTTCTCCGCGCTCATGATGTCCCTCATCACCAAACACAGCAACCAGGTGCGTTTTCTATCGCTCTCTCTTTCTCTCTTTCTTTTCCTGTGTAGCGTGGTGTGTTCATTTGGAGTTGCGTTGAGAGGAGACGGTGATGGTTATTTGACCTCGCTCCTCGGGTGGGTTCGTATTTTGGTTAAATATTCAAACACCAGGTGGCCCATAGCAAGGAGTACGTGGAACAGATCATCGGCAAGAGCTCCACCTTCATGAAAAAGGCAGCCCTCACCAAACTCGCCAAGCTCCAGATTTGAAAGAAAAGAAGGACACCCGTTCGCGAATTGGAGATCTCTTCAAAAAAGGAAATTTTGTCGTCAAAAAGTCTGGGAAAAAGGAGAATTTGTCGACAAGAAACAAAAAAGCGGCGTGTTCTGTCTGTTGGAAGATGTTGCGCGGCACTGCCCTCGCGACAACCGACGCACGCAAAGTTGGAGAAGGAAAGCACACAAGGCCTGGTGCGGTGTGCGGTTGGGGTATCGCGTCCCTCGACAACCACTCCAGTCCCCAGCTACAACCACAGCCCGTTCCACTGAAGCAGCTGCGTGCCCAAGTGTGTGTCTTCCACAGCCACCTCATCAGCCACACCATCACCTTCCAGCCCACCTGCTGTTGAGAGCCAGAGATCCAAACCAACTTGTCCTGTTCGGCCCGCTGGAACACGCAGGAACAAGTACCCCGTTTCGGTGCATCACTACCACTTCGAAGCGGCAGCGGTATAACGAGACGTTGCAAACGAGGACGGAGAAGAACGTAGAACCAAGTAGAAAGGAAGAGGAGGTAGAGAGGTAGAGAGAGAGTAAAAATCTGAAATAGAACACAACAAAGATGTCGTATGACCCGGATGAGTCGTTTCAACTCACCATCCCCCCCGAGCTGCGATGCCCCATCACGGGCGACCTCATGGAGGAACCCATCATCGCCGAGGATGGGCACACCTACGACAAAAAGAACCTGGCCCACTACCTGGAGACCAACAAAGCCAGGTGAGCAACACCTTCACCTCCATATTACCTCCCCCTTCTGGCCTCTTCACCCCCAGTGGTGGTGGTGTTGCTAACCTCCTCTACGCCCCATTGTTCGTCTCTTCTTCTCCCTCTTCTTCTTCTTCTCTACTTATCGAACTCGGCAGCCCGGTGACCGGCGAGCCCTTCGTGGGAGATGTGGTGCAGGTCCTCAACACCACCCGCCTCAAGCAGATCAAGTGGTGGCGCACCCTCGAGGCCGGCGCCTTCGACGTCAAGGAAGTGGTACTTCCTCCCTACACTCTTCCTCCAACATGTTCTGCTGCAAAGGTTATTTTATTTTACGTTTCCATTTTTTTCAACCACTTTCTTTTGTGTGAACAGCCCTTGACCCTGCGACGCATCGGTGAGCAAGTGCGAGCCTGCAAGGAGGGCCACAAGAACGGCGCCAATGAGCTGGTCTACCTCGAGGAGGAGCTGGCCCTCATCATCGAGAACCTCCAGAAGCTCAGGTGCGCGCAAGGCCAACCACTAAATAATAATAATAATAATAATAATAATAATTAATCAATAATAAATATATCCCAACCGTTGCCGGATCTGCTCCCGCAATGACGGAACATTTTCCTCACTTCCTGGGCGGCAGGCGCAACCAGCTCAAGCTGGCCACGGTGAGGCAGAGCAGCCGGGTGGCCGACAAGCTGAAGGAGATCGAGGAGGCCAAGGAGTCCCTCCTCCGCCAGGAAGCCGCCGTCGAAGGTAGAGACCGCATACCACAGGACTGGTCTGGACCAAGAAGCACCACTCATATCATCTGTTGTGACACACAGATCGCCTATATCAGCTGCATGGCGCCGCCACACTGGCCCAGAGCCAGCTCACCTATCAGAAGATGGTACGTTGTGCGTGTGCGGTGTGCGCGGTGTGTGCGGTGTGCGGTGTGTGCGGTGTGTGCGTGTGGTCTGACCGTTGGTTGTGCGGATGGTCAGGTGCTGCTGTCGCTGGAGCTGAAGGGCAAGAAGGTCAAGAACAAGCCCCTGTTCAGGCGCGGTACGCCGGTGCTGCCCAAGGACGAGAAGAAGGAGGCCAAGGAGGACAAGAAGCAGCTCAAAGACTTCCTCAAGGTCACCGACACCCTCGAGAAGGAGCTCAACGCCCTCGTCGCCGAAGACAATGTACCCTTCCACCGCACGCACACGCACACGCACACGCACAACACACACACACACACACAGCACAACACACACG